GTAAGTGTATCTGTAAGTGCATGCCAAACTTTTTTTTATTTCTTTTGCTTTCCACTTCACTTTTTTCCACATTTTCATTTATCTCCCTTTAGAATAGTCTGCATGTTATATGAACAACCATAATTATCCAATACTAGAAATGCCTACTGTAATTTCTCAATTTTACTATGAATTCTTTCCTCTAAAAGCAAATTAGTTGAATTTAATAAAAAAAAAACTCATTTACTTGTAAATGTATCATGATGCAATGACTTCAAGTAAACTCTACAATATTATGGCAATCATATTATATCTATTATTGATATCAGTATATAATTGCCAGGGATATCTCGAATATTTCTCTTAATACAATACTCAACCCTTACATAGCATTTATTACAGTTCAACCTCTATTATTTTATGCTCTGTGGACTCGCAAGGCCTACTGACTGGCATTAAATCTGACACCCTGTTTTTACAGATCTGCTACTGAACACTTTTGGGGTTGGTTTCAGATCAGTAATTTAATGCTTTATAAACTGATTCATTAAACTTTCCAATTCTTTTATGTAGCTCAAAGTGGAAATTAACTAAAATTACCACCCCCCAAACTGCCAAAATACATTTTCCCCATTGCAATTAAAGGATGGAGACCAGGTGAATCTTGGTGAACTAGGTATCTCAAAAAATGATGTGCCAAAGAAACTGGACAATGTCAGATGCCACTTGCACATATGTATGCAGTGCTAATTGTTAATTGTGTATCAAAGCTACCATTGTGTGGGTAGAAGAATAAAATTGAATGTTTAATCCTCTATTTTGGTTAGAAAACATATTAAAAGAATTCTAAATTTGAAAAACTTTTCCTGTATGAATTTCTGTGATGAGAAGTTTATAATTATTATAAAAACAACAAAAAAGATCTGTCTATATTTCTGAGATCAGGTATTGTAAATATTTGCACTACTTACAAGGACACATGGCCCAGCTGATAAAAGCGTTGGTTGAAATAATCCAATGACTTGAAAGAAGAGTTTTGAGTTCAATACCTGGCCACGGCAGAGCAGATCAAAAACTAGGAGTTGAGTTACTAAAGGGAAATAACTGAAAGTGAGATATCCAGAAAAGGCATGGTACGTGGAACTAGAACAATCTACCCCAGTGGATAAAATAAAGGGTTTGATTCAAAATTCCAGCATATATCACTTGAAGAAGGCAAGAGTGTACTATGGCTGAAGATTTGTGAATATGATAATAAAGATGAGAACAACAGTCCAAACAATGTAAATAATTAAAATACCTCATCTTAGAAATAAAGACAGTTCCTGAAGGAGGCTAGACCATACAACAGCCAAAACATCAACATGACAATAAAGATGAGAACAACAGTCTGAACAATGTAAATAGTGTAAATAACAACAAAGGTGACGACAATAGTCATCATATAAATAGTGTAAATACTGAAAACTTTTAATGTTTATTTTGATATGAAATTAAATTTGTATTTTATTAATTTGTTCCAGAATCTTATAAATTATTTTTAATATAATCACTTAGCAGACACAAATTATTTTAGACGATCTCATAAGATTTACAAAATTTAATCAATGCTATAAAGACATTAAAAAAACCGGAGAAATAAGAAAAAAAAGGAAACTGTGGCTTTAGCAAATAGCATATACAAAAAATATTTATAGAATCAACTGACCAGTTTTCGTTCCTCTCACATCAGAACTTGATTGAAGATTGACATAGGTATACTTATAAAGAGATCACATTGAGACCTGAAAACCATTCTTTTTGTTTACACAAAGATGGCTGCTATAGTTTAATTGTCTCAAGAACTTTCAAGTGATGGTCAGAATATGATCTGTTCAAGACTAAGAACATATCCTAATGGAAGGATGATGCTCATTGCCAACTTTTAAGATGCTCCAAGATTGCAGACCCAGATGTAATGAAACACTTGTACAAGTTTTAAAGTTGACCTTTCCTCCAACTTCAGTGTATTTTCTTTATATTTTCTCTTTTCAACTTGCCTCTTGTCCTATTTTTGATATGTCTGTTTTTATAGAATTAACAAATAATTTTCACATATTATAATTTTATATTACATAAATTACATTAAAAACATATTGTTTTTACACTATTACCCAGGAAGGGGTTAACTTGGGGGGTCAATTTCTGTTTTCAAATACTGTATATGGCCGGTAATAGCCAGTTTTCAAATTGACTAGATTAGTGAGTAACAAATGTACTTATAATGCCAAATTACACTTTTAAACAGGAAATTATGTTATATAAAATGATGACAAAAAAATAATTAAAAGAAAAAAAAATGTTTGCAATAAAAACAGACATATTAAAATCAAACAACAGGAAATATTAACAAAATGTTTATAGTTACCATGAAGAGATAAATTGAAAAAGAAAAAAAATGTGAGAAAAACATGACAAAAGCTCAACTGGTTTTCATTCTTCTCTTGCCAGAACTCTGCTGAGGACTGAAAAATCTGCACAACCAATAAAATAGAAGACACCAATTACCTGAATGTTATATATATATATATATATATATATATATATATATATAGTGATGTCAACGAACACTCGTTGCCACTTTTGTAATGACAATGAATACTTGTTGTCACTTTTATAATGCTCATTGTAGTAGAGACTTTGTAATCACAGATACAACTATAGAAATGCCATTGAACAATCAGAGGCCTTCAAATAACACCCACAATAATAGTAATTGCTAGTTAATACTCGCTCGAAAAGTAACTACTGAATAGTGATCTGAATAGTAATCTGTATAGTGATCACTAAGATGCCACACTAATTCCCATATATATATATATATATATATATATATAATATATTTTCTTTACCATCACATGATCTACTTATTCAAAATGGGATCACCTGTGTTTGCTCTCTGGTGATCTGTGGATCTGTGTTCAAACTCCAGTGTTTGCAGTGACATTTTATTCCTCTCTCTCTCTCCATATATATATATATATATATATATATATATATATATATATATATATATATATATATGTGTGTGTGTGTGTGTGTATTAAGTTCTTCTAGACCTCCAGACTTACGCCTATCTCTCATTGAAACACTGATTCTCATACAATCACTGAATTCAAAGTTAACCAATATTGAGCCTGGTCATTACCTAGATGAGTGACTGCTTAGGAATATCGGATGTTGTTACTTTGATGGGTAGGTGGTGTAATGAAAGGTATAAATCTACTACTTCTCTCCCCTGCTATGGGTTAATTATTAAGATTTGTATGAGAAATTCATTATTATCTCCAAGAAATCCTTCTAATCTAAAAATATTTTCTAGCTTTAAATAACCTGCAAAAGGTGGATACACTGTAAAAAAAAAAAAAAAAACAATTCATCCCTGCCTCTGTATCAAACAAAATGACTTCTCAGCCAGAAAGTTAACAACTTTTGATTATTATATATATATATATATATATATATATATATATATATATATTTAGTCTTTGGTGTTTTCTATTTTATTTGTTGCACATATTTTTCAGTCAATGATAGTACTGATGAGAGGGACAAAAATAGGGTAACCTTTTTCCTTTTTTTTATTTTTATTTCAATTTGCCTTTTAAGAGTAACTATAAACTTTTGTTGTTATTGCATGTTGATAATTTTAATATGTCCATTTTTAGTGTAACTATTACATTCTGTACACCTTTTAAAATATTTAAAACAATGTTTGTTGTATATATTGTAAAAGTTTTTTAAGAAATTATGGTAGGTTTCTAAATTTAAAAGATACTCTGTAAACAGGAGAATGTATTACAGTAAAGACAAAGATCCTATCTTCTATAAAGTTTAGAATGTTAAAATCATTTGCCAAGCTTGCTATAAAATGTGATTCATTTTGTGTGCTTTGTTAATATCATTTTCAGGATATTTCAACTAAATATAAGCTATTTTATATAACTCTGATAGAAATTACTTGTCAAAATGGACTGTATTTAGGTATTTTCAATTTGAATATGATTTGTATTTTAAAAATTTTACTCCATTCCTTGGGTCCCTGAATCCATCATAAAAATACAGGATATGGAATTAGTAAATGCTAAACACTTCAGATGCTTTGGCACGTGGATTGGTTATAATAAATTTAGTATACAAGAAAAAGAAATTGAACATAGAATAGGCTGTGTCAGAGATAGTTTCACTCAACACAGCATATTGCTACCAGACCAAAACATCAACCTGAAAACTCGAGTCCTGTTTTTAAATAGCCTCATCAGATTGAAACTTTCATATGGTTTTCATGTATGGTGCCAAACTTGTTCAGAAATATCTAAACTGCTTTCTAAGATCAATGGTGAAAAAAGGCTTTGACCAAATGAAGCCTGAGGGTTTTGAACCTTGTGGAACAACGCTACAAAATCACAAAGAACTGTACTGAATAACACAAATCTCATCACATAAGGACTGCCAACAGCAGCAACAACTAAAATGGATAGCACATGTAAATCAGAGAGAAAATAATGACATAATCAAGATGTTGGCATTTCACAATATTTCAAATAGAAGGTTAGGAAGGAAAACCCCATTAATACTGGAAAAAATGAAACTGTACTTGAACAATCTATTTTCCTGAAAAATTGCTTTTTAAGAGAAAGATTTTATAAAGTTCAACTGAAAGCAGTATTGGCTACTCAGTCAATGAATGCCAAATTTTTCCTTGTAGGGAAATGGTTAATTTTACTATTACTGTTACCATCTGCAATTTATCTTAGCATGAGTTCAGTCAACCTCTCATTTAATTTTGTTAAGTTGCTCGTAGAAATTTTTCTACAGATATTTAACATCACTTTGCAACATTGGATCTCATAAGATCACCAAAGATAAGAACAAGCCTAGTCAGTACCTAGATGGGTAACTGCATGGAAATACAAAGGTGCTGTAAGCTTGGATGTACAATGTGTGGATGGTATAATGGTTGATGGCTTACAGTAAGAAAT